GAAAGTTAGATCCAAACACCCGTTGTGTGGGAGAAGCATCGAAATGAACTGTTTAATCTGCCCATCATGTGTGTTGAAAGATCAGCAATGTTTGGATCAACAAAGTGTGTCTACTTTAGTGGAAACTGTATTTATGGCTTAATTTTGTGCATTTAAACTTCAGCCGCCACTGATAGTGGTTAAAAGTTGTTAAATCTGTGCATATGAAACAACAAATGCCTTTTGTTTATCGATTTATTGTGAAATACGGAAATTGTGCTTGCTCCTTTTCCTGTTGGGCCGTTGTGATTTCTGTCCATTTACTGCGGAGGTGCTCCGGCGTCCGGCAAAAATAGGATTGATTCTATTTTTGCCGGACGCCGGAACAGAGGGCGGCGCACGGCGCCGCACTGCCGGAGCAAGGCCGCAGTAGTGGAATAGCTCTGATTGACTACAACGGGACCGATTTTGCTCCGGCGTTCGTGCTCAGATTGAGCAAACTTGTGAGATTACACATAATAACCACTTAGAAATGGAGCAACATGTTGCTAGCATAGCGGCTAATTGCTAGCATAGCCGTTTGACCAGTTATATCGATATAAAGATATAAAGTCATCTTGCATCTTGTTTAAAAATTATATAGATATTTTAAAAATATCGATATGTCGCCCAGCCCTATGGGCACCTATGCACAACTTAACGTGAGTTGTCTTTGCATGCACTTTTGCAGGTGTGTGGGAAAGTCTGCGTCGTCAGGCCGTCGGTGTAGCAAAGCAGAGCAGGGAACATAAAACAGATGAGAGCGCTGCTGCCCATTTTCCAGCACATTAGCAGCAGCATGGCCTGATGGGAGCTTATAATGAAGGGGCTTGCCTTGGCCAAGTCACGGGTGAGCACAGTCCAAACTCTGTGCATCTATCCTTCCTTTCATTCCCCTTTCCTCATCCATAACCCCTCCTCCTCCTGCTATATGCTACCGTGCATCCCCAGAGCCATGTGATCTTGTCCATCCTCTCACTCCTCCTTTCTGCCCTTTCAGTAATCTCTCCCCTCCCTCCCTCCCTCTGCAGCCACACATCAACCTCCACTTTCTCCTCTTCTCCCCACATCGCCTTGTGTGTGTGTTCCCCTCCCCTGACTCACACATACTTTCTGTCACTTTGGGTGCCCCACCAGCTCGATTCACCTATGCTGTTGTTTCTGCTCTCGTCTTTCCTTCCCCTTTCTCCATCTTCTCCCCTGGGTAATAACCCAGGCAACCTGGACCACAGCGAAGCTGGCAGAGACACAAACAGAGCCCACAAAGATACACCACTACACACACAAGCACTGCGCAGTGCTTTAATTCCTCAACACACATGTGCAGAGTGCTCTTTGGGGACTCTGCGTCATGTTTGACCTATGTTTCACTCCCTGTGGCAGGATATTTGTGTATGTGCATGTGTGCAAGAGAAAAATAAAATCTGCCAAGTATTCCCATGACCACGGTTAGCGGCTGAGGGCATAAGCTGTTTCTGCTCCACAAACTAATGTGCACTTCATGATGGCATGGTTAAATTAAAGGCAGGTGAACGCTTGAGGAACCGAGGCCAATCCCTGCTCTCTAGCTGGGATGATCTAAATTACACCCTTTTTATCTGTAGATTTGTCAGGTCCAATGGAACCATTGATGTTCTTTACTGAGGTTATAGAGCTGCACTGTGTTAAAGAGCGAGTAACACCTAAATTAATTTTTTTGCTTATATAGACAAGTGTCTAATAGTGCTGTAGGCACGTGTAATGCAATGGACTCTGTATTGTTTTTATTGTTTTTTGAAATTTTCCCTCATTCCCTCATCACACATATTCAGTTGATGTCCCACATTTTGTGTTTAAAAAGTCACCACTGTGTGACAGACACTCATCTGAGATCTGTCTTATGTCCAGTAGCTGTAACAAAACATGGAAGGCTCTCATCTGAGGAACAGAGTTCAATGTCAATCAAACTGCTGACACACATGGGTCAAGTGCAGGCTAATCTGTGAGTGTCTTCTTGGAGGAACCACAAAATAAAAACTCTAACTCAGAGGAATGTCTCAGAAAATATGCACCAGTAGTACCATTCCTCCTGGAATGCAAATGATGAGCGCTTGACAGTTTAAGTGTCGCCAGCTGAAAAAAACAGCATTTACAAAACTGTGCAGCACACTGATACAAACCCAGCATGTTTTCTGATTCAGAAAATAAAAGATTTGTTTACAAAATAAGAATCGGAGTCACACGCATGCACAAAAGTGTGTTCAGGCTGGTGATGTTTAACACCTGATTTTAAGACCTGAATTTCAGCTGTTTCCCTTTTAATTAGTTGGAGTCTCATTAAAAAATGGATTCCATAACAAATTATAGACCTAACATTAAAATATGAAACACTTTTTGTCTGTTTTAAGCTGAGAAATGATTGGTTAGTACATTTTTTGGGCAAACCCTTTCTGTAGATGCACATCAAATGGCCCTCCTTGGGCTATCACCTACTGTGATGGAGGGGTTTGAGTGTTTCAGTGGTCCTAGGAGCTAAGTTGTCTGAGGCTTTATGGCTCTGGTAGGGTCACCTATGGAAAACGGGTCCTAGGTGAGGGATTGGACCAAGAGCAGCCCAAAGACCCCTTATGAAGAAAAATATACATGGAAACAGTGTTCCCTCACCTGGACGCGGGTCACCGGGGCCCCCTGATGGAGCCAAGCATGGAGGCGGGGAACATTGGCGAGGAGCTGTTGGCTGGGATTTTGCCCATGGAGCCTGGCCTTGCACAACCTGAAGAGAAAATGTGGGTCCCTCTTCCCATGGGCTCACCACTCATGGGAGGGACCTAAGGGGTCGGGTGCAGTGTGTGGTGGGTGGTAGTCAAGGGTGGTGACCTTGGTGGTCTGATCCTCGGTTACAGAAGCTGGCTCTCAGTATGTGGAAAGTCACCTTTCTGGTGGAGAAGGAGCCTGAGTTGATATGTGAGATCGAGAAGTTCTGACTAGATGTAGTCGGACTCACCTCAATAAATGGCTCTGGCTCTGGAACCAGTTTCCTTGAAAGGGGTTGGACTTTCTACCACTCTGGAGTTGATCCCACTGAGACCTGAGATGGGGGGCAACAAGTATGCCCACCCCTGCTCGGCGCCTTTACGTTGAGGTTTACCCTGTAAATGAGAGGGTAGCCTCCCTCCACCTTCATGTGGGGGGACAGGTCCTGACTGTTGTCTGTGCTCATGCACCATACTACAGCTCAGACTACCCACCCTTTTTGGAGACCATGGAGGATGTGCTGGAAAGCCCCCCTTCCGGTGACTCCCTCGTTCTGCTGGGGGACTTTAACAATTACATGGGCAATGACAGTGAGACCTGGAGAGATGTGGTGGGGAGCAACGCCCCCCTAATCTGAATTGGAGTGGTATTTTCTTGTTGGACTTATGTGCTCATCATGGATTGTTCATAATGAACACCATGTTCAGACATAAAGGTGTCGATATGTGCTCTTGGCACCAGGATACCTTAGGCTGCAGCTCAATGACTGACTTGTTTCATCTGACCTGCGGCCGCATGTCTTGAACACTTGGGTGAGGAGGGGGCGGAGCTGTCAACTGACCACTATCTGGTGGTGAGTTGGCGCCGATGGTGGGGGAGGATGCTGGTCAGACCACGCAGACCCAAACATATCGCGAGGGTCTGCTGGGAACGTCTGGCAGAGTCTCCTGCCAGAAGGAGCTTCAGTTTCCAACTACAAAAGAACTTCCAAAATGTTCCAGGGGAGGTGGCGGACATTGAGTCCAAATGGGCTATGTTCCATGCCTCCATTTTTGAGGCAGGCGACCAGAGCTTTGACCGCAGGGTCGTTGGTGACTGTCATGGCGGCAACTCCCAAAACGGCTGGTGGACACTGGCGGTAAGTGATGCTGTCCAACACTTAGTGGTGATGGTGTGCTGCTTATCTCTACACGGGAAGTTCCACGGGAAATGGATCGGTGGGCGGAATACTTCGAAGACCTCCTTAATCCCTGAGAGGGAAGTCTGGGCCTCTCAGCTTAGGCTGTTGCCCCTGCCACCCGACTCCAGATAAGCAGAAGAGAATGGATGGATGGATGGATGGATGGATGGATGGATGGATGGACATCAAATGGTTTCATTCAAATCTGTCCAGTGGTTATGGTAAATGGGCTGTATTTGTATAGCACCTTCTAGGGTTCTACAACCCCTCCAAAGCATGTCACAACACAATCAGTCATTTTCCCATGAGCACGCACACATTCACACCCTGGTGGTGATGAGCTACAATGTAGCCACAGCTACCCTGGGACGCAACAACATAGGCGAGGCTGTCTAACACTGTCGCCAATGTTGTCTTGGACCACCACCAGCAGGCAAGGTGGGTTAAGTGTCTAGGCCAAAGACACAGCATCCTCTGGTGGGAGCCAGGATCAATCCAGCAACCCTCTGAAAAACTGGAAAACCCATTTTACCCCTGAGCTACTGCTACCAAATGAGCAATGAGATAGCTTTCTAAAAATAAATAAATTAAAAAATAAAACACAAACAAACAAACACACATATACTTACACAGTTAAAATCATCATTGCCTGTTTTTTTTCCTTCAGCCACAAAAAAGTAAGAAATTGCCTAAATTATTTGTAATGCCTTTAAAAATCAAATTCCCAGATCATAGAAACAAAGTTAAATGCAAAATAGTGTATTTGTGATTTTTTCTGCACAAGGATTTGACACCAGATACCTGAAAAAAGTTTCACACACTTTCACCAGACACAGATGTATAATGCATCTTGAATGCTTTGAATTTTATTGCTGCTTTTATCCCTGAACTAAACCACTAAATATGGTGACTTAAAGCAGGTTTATTTGCCCTAATATGGAGTCCTTGTTTAACAAACTTCTGAAAAAACTAAAATTAAATACGATTTTGATGGATAATGGTGCATGTCTCTGCATCTTCACAGACGGAGACATATACACTAGGCTCGACACCTGATGTGTGTTTTTACCTCTGTCAGTGTCGTATAAGAAGACGAATTGGTTCCAGTCGTAGTGGTCCAGCAGTGACAGTAACGCCCCTCTGATGGACGGTCGAAGCTGCAGCGTGAACTGTCCCTCTCCCTCTGTGGGGAAACTGGGGGTCACCAGGCTGATGTGCAGAGCCCCACAGAACGAAGTCAGTGTGTTCACCGACCGCTTGTCGTAAAGGCCGAAGATGGCAAAGACCCCCCTCGAATACTGAGAACAGACTGATGGAAATAGAAACAGACAGAAAAAGAGTAAACAAAAAGCTATGTAATTTGTTTGTTTGTTTGTTTGTTTACATAAATCTAAGGGGGTAACCCCAATGAGATGAACCGTCTCATTTTCAAGAGGGTCTTTGTTTACATGCAGCAAAAGCCTGTGTAAGAGCAAGATAACTGAGTAAATACCTGAGAAATAACTGAGTAAAAACTGAGTAAATACCGGAGTAAATATCTGAGTGATTAACAGAGAGAATAAATGAGTAGATACACAAGTAAATAACTGTGTAAATAACAGAGTAAACAACTAAGAATTACCCAAGTAATACCTGAGTTAATAACTGAGTAAAAACTTAGTAAATACCTGAGTGAATTACTCAGTAAATACACAAGTAATTAACTGAGTAAATAATGGAGTAAATAGCAAAGTAAAAAGTAAGTAAATTAATTAGAAAATAACTGAGGGACTACCTGAGTAAATAACTTGGTATAACGTACCAAAAGGGTCCATTTTCACCTAAATATTGACCAACATAATAACCTTTCATCTACAGAAATAAATCCACTTTCTATTTGGCCTTCCAAATTCAGAAGGTTCTGCTCAGTGCATGTTTACATACAGAAGACAAAACATCCAGACAAACAATCTGTCCCAAGGTCTGACGCAGGAGCCAGACTACTGATTCCTCACTCTGAATAAAAACTGAACCTACTCGAAAACTACAACACTTTACAACTTATAAGTTAAATAATCATGTGATGAATGAGCAAGATGTTTAAATCAAATGTTTGAATAATCTGTGCTTAAATCAATGAATTTGGAATGAATATTGTTCTTACAATGATCCATTTATATCACAAATCACTATGTGTTTGATTTAATAAGATAATCATTGTTTACACTCATACACATTACAAAAAGATACATATTAAGGTATATTTTCACCTCAAATAAGAGTTTTGAACATTCTTATTCACAGTGCTTTGTATCTGAAGAAGGCGTGGCTTTCTGAGGGATGTTGGTAAAACTCCAAACGTGTCAAATTCTGATTTGCCAAAACTTGACCAAAAGTCATTACATGTAATAAAACAATAATTACTTCCAGATTCATTCAGTTTCCAGCTCACTCTCGATTCGGCCAAATCGGGAAAGAAGCCTCTTTTGAAACAGTCTCCTTTGACCTTCAGTCAAAACCTTTCAGCGACGCTGCAAGTGATTACAGACACAACAGCTCTTTTCAGAGCTACTTCAACTGTCAGACATCCACCTTGGACACCTAATCTGCAGACCCCGGGTTGCATCTCATGGCCGGGGAAGCTGAACTCAGAGGAAGCTACTAATCTCTATGTATCGTGGTTTTGACGTCCGGTGACCTCAACACTTGACCACACCCCTCTGGACCGGCAGGAACAACTCATGCAAGTGTAGCATAAGCCTGCATACTGGTGTCTGATGAGGTTTTTAATCAAAACAACACTCTAGTTATAAACAACAACAAATTATTTTACCGCCCAGATTTCACATTTTCTCTCAGATACAAAGCTTCCATTAAATTTCACACAGCACATTAAATCACTCCATATCCAATACACCACATCTCAATATTCACATCCTATCATGTATAAATTGTTAGTTTTGGAGAAATAATTTATCTTTGACATCTCTGTTACCTCAGAGTAAATACCTGAGTTAATAACTTAGTAAATAACTGAGTAAACAAATGAGTGCATTACTTAGTAAACAACTTAAGAAATACCTGAGTAAATAACTTAGTAAACAACTGAGTAAATACCTGAGTTAATAACTTAGTAAATAACTGAGTAAACAACTGAGTGCATTACTTAGTAAACAACTTAAGAAATAACTGAGTAAATAACTGAGTAAACAACTGAGTAATAACTTAGTAAATAACTTAGTAAACATGCAAAACACAGCTAAAACAATAAAAACAAAGAAAAAAATACCTCACTCATATCTCATACTTTCTATTAGTCGTACAATGCTCTCAATGCTAACCCAAAGGAAATATTTCAAGTTCCAACAGTAGCAAACACAACTTGTAATAAACAGACTAAAGCCCCCAAGCAAACAATAAATAAATAAATAAAACAACTTCAGAACAATTACAAAAGACATGGACATAAACAGTATTCAGAAACAATCGAACTGCTGCGATTGGCCTTGTATTGACTTATTCCAGCCAATGGAGATTTAACACAAAACCCAGTTTACCAATTTCTTTATTCAACTGAGGAACAACAGTATGTCTGATCATTTAGTGGAAGGCGGCATAAGTACATTTTTTAATAAGTTGGAATATCAAAGTATATAGATGTGGAAATGAACAGCAACCAGTGAAAAACGCCTAGCTTTTATTGAAGACCAAAAACCCTTGTTTTCATTTGAAATTAGATCATTTACTCTTATTGCCTATTTGCATTTAACATTGAACAGTTTTATCTGCTAAGGATTAAAATAGGTAGAGTTACAAATAATTTAAAAGAGCACAGTTCTTAATTAAATTCCCACTATTGAAGATGTCTCAACATGCCGACCATGTTAATGAGCCAAGGTTCAGTTTGTCTCAGCCACCATTTTCACTCCTAATTAGACCAACAGACTGTGTTTTGAATGAAAAGCCAGAAAGGCCTTATTAACCTAAGGAGAGCTTGAAAATGTGCCAATCAAATGCAGCAAATAAACAGCATTTAAGGCACCACAAGTTAAACCTGTCCTACTGTACCTCATAACATGCAAACACAAATTCTCAGCCTAGACTGTTTCACACAAGCAAGCTGACATCAAAGACCCTCACCAGCTCGTGGTGAACATTCCCACGAGATACAAGTGTCTTCTTAAACAAGCTTTTTGAAAGAAAATTATCCCAACCTGTTTAGAGGTGAATAGAGACGTCCCCACCCTCTGACCCATGTAATGAGCTTGTTTAAATATAAAATTTGTCCCCACAAGCATTTAAACAGAAGAAAAGAAAGACAAAGCTTTCCATCTGTCTCTTTTTCACTCATTACACCAGTAAGAAACATCTGGGATTCCTGAACATTCCGACACTATAGAAACGTCAATAGATGAGTTTAAAAGTGGGTCTGCAGTTTTTAATTTTAATGCCCTTTTCCTCTTTTCTCGTCATCTTTCATCCTCTTACGTCTGCCTCTTCTTTCTCTCTTTAGCCTCATTCAGTCTTTCACTCAGATTATTTCAAGTGGACTTTATTTTTCGACTCAGCCTTCTTCCTGCATCTCAATTCACTCTCCTCTCTGCTACACGCCATACGGGAGTAAACTGTTACTCTGAATCCTCCTCATTATCTTCTTTGTGCATCACATCATCCCACCAGTTCTTTTTCCTGTTTTTAAGGCAAACACACCATACATTCTCTCTATTCCCTCTGCTCTCCCTCGCTTCATCTGCGACTGTACCCCTGCCTGCCTCTCTCCCTCCCTACGAGGACTCAGAGTAATTCCATTATCAGCTATAAGCCTCAGTGGGGGTACACACTGAGGCAAACGCAGCGGTTCGCCTTGTGGCAATTAAACAAAGCCGTGGCCCCTGCACCCAGAGGGCGATAAGGCAGGGATTTAGCCTCCGATTATGACAGGAGCTAAATGTCTTCAATTCAGAGAAGCGACATACTCGCTGTACTCAGCATGTGTCATTCAGCAGGAGCTGAGTCATGGTGTCCTCAGCATTCTTAGCATCTTTTATGATGTTTACTACAGTCAATCCACAAATTTTTATGTTTCGAGACACGAGAGATGGTTGCGGTCATATTTTACTGAGACAGCGGAAAAGTGTGAAATTTAAAATACAAAAGATTCTGAACTAAATCACTGACTTTCTTAGAAGATAAATGTCTGGAATCAAAATGACAGAAAAAAGGATTGAAGCAGATAACGAGCAGAGACAGGAAATCAAATTAAACCACAGGGGAAATACACCTTTTCATCTTTGATGGCAGCCATCTGATGTTGCTCTGAAATAGCTTTGGGTGAAGATAAATGATATCACACACGTTAAGGACAAAAGACTATCAATATGCAACTGACTATTGATAATCACTCCTTGAGGGAGTTCAGGTCACAAGTCCCTTTTCTGTCACTTTAAAGCTACAACAGCAGTTTTACCCTCTAAAATCACCACATTTTCATTCTTCACTCATGCAGAGTTTATAATGAAATCTCACTTCTTGTTAATGTAGAATGTTAATAAACTCAGGGACAGTTAATGTGCTTCCCGCTCAGTCGGACTAAAGTTATCACAAGGCCCTGACAAATAGAAAATATATTTCAGCCTTTCTGTCATGTTCTGTGCCCCTGTGGTCCACAGCCCCCTTCAGGTTCCCTCATGTGTCCCCTTGTGTTCCTCATGTGTCTCCTTGTCTGCGCCCTCCCTCAGGTGTCCCCTTGTGTTCTCCATCCCTCTCTAGGTTCCCTTATGTGTCTCCTTGTGTTCCTCATGTGTCTCCTTGTCTGCGCCCCCCCCCCCCCCCCCTCAGGTGCCTCCTTGTGCTCCCCAGCCCACTCCAGGTTTTCCCCTTAGGGGGTCCCCTTAGGTTTCTGTGTCCTTGTGGTCCCCAGTCCTCTCCAGGTTTCCTATCAGGTTCCCTTCTAGTCACTCCCCGTAGTTTTCTGTAGGTTCAGGTTTTCATTAGTCTCCTTTAGTGTGTGTGTGTTTTCCTTCTCCACTTGTTTATTCCTCCCTCACTCCTCAGGTTTATAGTTATTTTTGGTTCTCCTGTGCCCTGCGTCTTTTAGGTTCATTTATGTAGTCTCATAGGTTATGGCTTATTCCCCTCCTCTGCTTAGTTTTCCCTTCCCATTTTGTTTATTGATTTCATCAGGCTCTCCTCGGGTTCTCTCTCCCCACACACCTGCTGCTCATTTCCTAATCACCCAGCCCCTGTGTATAAAACCCTGTCTTGTCTCTCAGTGTGTGTCGGTCCATTGTCGTTGTCAGTGTTGTTCTGTTCCTCCTCGTGAAACTCTAG